CTCTCTCTCTCTCTCTCTCCACTTAGGGTGACTCTGGAGGTCCCCTGGTCTGTAATGGCACACTCCATGGTATCATCTCCTGGGGAGACTTCCCCTGTGGGCAGCCCAACCGTCCTGGTGTCTACACACGAGTCTCTCAGTACATTTCGTGGATCCAGGACACAATCCAGAAATACAAAACTCAGGAGCATCAAGGGAAGAAGGGCCCTGAATAAAAGTCTGGTTCACCTCCCAGCTTCCTTCCTCCCCTCCGTGCCCGCCTTCCTCAGTTTACCCAGCCCTTCTCCACCTTTCCCAAAGTGTTCTCTTCTAGCGGATGACCCGTGTTCTCCAGATGTTCAATCCTAAATGATGTTCTTTGTTTCAGAAGCATTTTGTCACTGCCAACATTGTGGTCCTCCACATCCCTGAAATGTACCACTCCTTGGAATGTCCCCAACCGAAACATTATTCCAGGTCTCCTGAACGCTTCAACATGGCTGACATTGACCCAGAAACCCTCGGTGCAATGCTTAAGTGTTTGGCTGCTTACCTAAGGTCTGCATTTTAAACCCACCAGCTGCTCCACAGGGAAAAAGACCCGGCAGTCTGCTTGCATGAGGATTTCAGCCTAGGACGCCCTGTGGGGTAGTTCTACTCTGTCCTGTAGGGTTGCTGTGAATCATAAATTAACTCCATGGCACACGACAACAACGTAGACCCAGATGGTGTTCTGAGCATTGTATCCACGGCTACATTCATAAATACCTAAACCAACCCATCTCAACAACATTCTGTATCACATGAATGGACCTTCCTTGGCAACATCCTATCCCACCTCAAATATTTATTCCTTGTCAGTGTTCTAGATACTTCTGTGTTTTGTACTCAGGAAGGTTCTAGAATCCCACAACATTTCATCCTGAAAACTTTCTCCTGTTCCTGGAAACTTCTCTCCCTGGAACATCTGCTTCTTGAAAGATTCAGTGCTTCCAACACCCCATCCCCATGATGGTCTCCCAAAGGCTACCCTACCTACTACACTCGGTATCCCACCTACGTTCTGCTTCTGCTAACATTCCCCTTCTCAGAAGCCCCATTCCCACTCGTGATCAACATCCCCCTGGACTTTTCAATTCTAGATCACTCCAAGGTGGTCAGTTTCAGTACCCCAAGGGGGCCCTATCCCTCGACACTTTGCCCACCAAATGTTTGATCCTTGTATCTCCCCCACAAACATCCTTTTTACAGTGACTGTTGCCGTTACATCCTTTCCCATGACCCCATGACATACTCAGGTCCTGGAGCCCACGTTGGGTGGTTACTCACTCGATGACCTTCAGCAAGTCATAAAATTCACAACCTCTCTGTTTCCTCATCAGTAAAATGGTGCCCTTAATTTTGCCTCGTAATGTTTTTACAAGGATAAATGTTGAGTATTTACCACTATTATTATTTGAATGAGTTCCTATGAAATACAACCTTAGAAGGTTAATAACAGGCACTCAAACTTGCAGTGTCCAAAAGTTACCTTCATTTATATTCATCAGACAGTTATTAAGTTGTATTTATTTATTCAACAAATATTGGTCCCTTCCATGAGCCAGGCACGGTTGTAGATAATTGGTGATAAAAAGTGAATTGAACAACAAATATTACTATCAAGATACCTAAGTGGTGCAAACGGTTTGCATTCCACTACTCACCTAAAGGTAGGCGGTTCAAACCTACCCAGTGGTATTGCTGAAGAAAGGCTGGAAATATGTCTCCACGGAAAGAAGCCAGGAAAATCCTCTGGGGTCATTCTGCTCTGTTACACATCGGGCCACCAGGGTCGTAATCAACTCGACTGCAATAGGTTTGTTTTTTTCTGTTTTTTTTGTATGATCTCCCTTACACAAAATGTCTAGGACAGAAATATCCATGGACACAAAACATTAGTAGTTACCAGAAAGTGAATGAAGGAGGGAATGAGAAGTTAAATAAAAAGAAGAAGAAGAAAAGAAATATGTCTCGTATCCAAATGGACTACCAAGAATGTATAATCTTGAGGGGGGGGGATAAAGTAAACAGACAAAAATGTCTTTCTTTGTGGAACTTACATTCTTTGGGGAGAGACACACCATCAAAAAGATGAATAAAGAAGTAGACTGTCTGAGGGGAAGAAGAAAAACCGACCCATCACTGTTCCATTGATTCCAAGTCTTTGGGACCCTGTGAGGCCGAGTAGAAATGGCCCATGGGGTTTCCAAGGCTGTTATCTTTATGGGAGCAACCACATCTTTTGCCTGTGGAGTGTGGTTGGTAGGTTCGAATTGCTGACCTTTTGGTTGGCAGCTGAGTGCCTAATCATTGCGCCACCAGGGTTCCTTGATGATGGTAAAGCCGTGGCCACAAAAACAAGAAGCAGGGAGAAGGAATAGAGGATACTGGGTTGGGGTGATTGCTACTTTAAAGATGGTGGTCAGGGAAGAAGACTTCACTGAGCTTTGTGCGTCTGAGAGAAGGCAGAGGAGATGGTGCGAGGGGGCTAGGTACCTACCTGGGGTGCAGCATGCAAGCAGGGAGAACCGCAAGGGCACAGGTCCTGAGGCAGGAGCCCCCTGGTGTGAGTAAAGCAGAAGAGGCCAGTGGGGTTGGGACAGAGAGACGGGCAGAGGGCCGGAAGATGAGGTCACAGAGGGACAGATCCCACAAGGACTCGTGGGCCAGGGCAGGACTTTGCCTTAATGCCAAGTGAGGCGGAAGCCACAGATGGTTCTGTGGGGAGATGTGAGCTGACTTGGGTGTGCCCAGGGTCCCTCTGGCTGCCATGTGAGGAAGAGACTGGGGGTGGTGGTGAGAGAGGAAGCAGGTCTGTGAGGAGAGAGTTTCAATAAACTAGGGGCGGAGGTGACGGTGTCTGGACCAGGGTGATGGCTGTGGAGGGACCGCAAAGAGGTCAGATTCCACATTGGTCTGAAGGGGTTTCTCTGAGCCCTGGGCATGCAATGGTTATATACTTAGCTGCTGACCAAAAGGTTGGTGGTTCAAACCCTCCTGGTGGTACTG